CGGCCGTCATGTAAATGCCACGTCACGCAAAAGCTTCGATAGCGTCTTGTTTCTCGACCATTATGTCAATTTGCTAACGCAGTTTTTGTTTCCCCCTCAAAATTCACCTCATGTAAAGCAGCTTGCGTAGCAGGCGTCAAGAAGGGTAGGGATTAGAGAGGAAGGGGAAAAGGGAGGGGGGGGGGGGAAAGCCAGCTACATGTAATGCGTCACGAATCCCATACGGAAGCGAAGGTTATACGCATACCGTCGTATCTTATATGGAGTTCTTTTCGAGCCTTCCCCAGCTTTTCCATCGTGGCGATTGTGCAGATATGCTCAGAAATGCACGCTCGCAACAAAAACGATCGTTCTCCGAGAAGGATTCTTACCGAAAAACCTCTCGCATTACAAAAAAGGGGCAAAAAAGATTGAAACACAAGTGACCGTCTGAAGCTCTACTTTGCCTTGAATTAGGTTTCAGAAAATTGAATTGCGCAGACATAATTACGATCTTACTTTATTTCCAGATACTTCAAGCTTCTTGAGCAAAAAGAGACACCCGTGCAAGCTGATTACGAGCGCAAAATTATTTTTAACAAATTTATGTGAACATCAGGCCCAAGTTGGTCAAAAGCTTGCTATCCAGCGAATACGTATTTGGGAAACCAATTGGCTTATCCATTGGGTAGAGAGTTTATCCTTTGGAAAGCGCTATCCACCTTTTGAACAACTGGAGCCAGTATGTTAACTACACTAACGAGTAATGAAATTGAGTAATTTAGAGCTTTTAAAAATGATCCGGAGGGGGGCGTAACTAGTCTTTTTTTTGTAGGGTAGGCGTGCAGAGAAATTATTCTGCGTCGAGGGTGGTCGACCATCAGCTGTCGATAGCTGTACAGAGATATTGAAAAAACAAAAACGCTTGGCCTTAGAAATTGCACAAAAAATAGCGACGCTATTTATCTCAATCATTTATGAATATGAAAAACAAGAGAGAGGATAACTTCTCTTTCAGGTATGCACGAGCACACTAGCGTTCTGGCCCCGGTTACTCGAAAGATGGTTAATTTAACAATATGTTAGTTGGTAACGGTTGGTTAAATTCAGCTGCTAACCGTGGTTTAACTGACCGTTAGTTAAATTCCCGTTGCTCGAAGGTCTGTTAAGCTGACGCTAATCCCTGGTTAGCTGACCAATGGTTGAATAAAATATCCCAGACTTTACCCATCTCCGAACAGGTTTGACAAGTTTTCCCGCGAAAGGTTTTAGGCAGCTTTGACACTAAGACGGCGAAAGTAACGAGAGCGTCAAAAAGCAATAGGTTTAGATTGGCAAAACAACTTTGCACGTGCACCACCCTATTAATTTTTTTGTACATTTCTTTGCCGTCACTGCAGGACTACGACGTGAAAATAACTAATTTCATTTTTTATGGAGGACGTTAACAAGCGACGACGAACTTTTCTTCCGGCTTTCTAAACTTAAGTGCGATCTCCAAGAAATCAACTCCAGGAAATTCTCTTGAATTTGACTTTTTAAGCGAACTGGAATAAACGCGCCAAAATTTGAAAACGTGCGAATTAATTTTAAAAGTGACGATTTCGCTGCCGTTGCCGTCGTTGATTCTAAAACTCCAATTTTACCATTTTCTGTCCACTTTCAGCAGTAAAATGGCTGCCGAAAATTCTTTGCCTGAGCTCGAAGCTGTTGAAGTCCCTGCTGACAATAAAACCGCCTGCAGGAAGCGAAAACCAAATTTTTCAGCGTAAGAAATTGCGATGCTGAACAACTCAAAAGTTGTAGAAAATCAAGCAGTACTGAAATCAAATTTTACTAACACAACCACTAATACAAAATGAAGCGAAAAAGTAAAGAAACTGCCATGTTGTTTCTCCGTTTTTACAACACACGTCATTTTAACCGATGCTTAAAAAGTAAACACTCGTAACGTCTTACGTTAAATTAAATTTAACGCATTCACTGCTTCCACATAGACCATATTGCACCTTCTTTACCCCCACAATTTTGCATAACCATTGTTTCTAATTCCTCCTGGTTATTACAGTCGCCCCAAGAGAAATCGAAGACAATGGTTATGTAAAATTTTGGGGGGTAAACAAGGTGCATTATGGTCTATGTGAAAATGGTGAGTGATTAGAAGAAATTGAACTCATGGTTAACACTAACCGGCGTTCGAGCAACCGAAACTCACCATTGGTTAAGAGGCTTAACTTTCGAGCAATTGGAGCAAAGTCGCTACGCCCTGTATACCGATCTTTCGGAAGACAAGTCGTAAAAACGTGTAGCAACTAATTCATTAATCTATAAATCAGGACCATTATTAGATGGTTCTTAAAAGACTGTGACAGTAAGTAAGGATATGGTTCTAACAAGCAGACCAAGTTGAGCAGTAACTACGGCTTTGTTGCCAACGGATGCAGTCACTTTGCACCTGGATTCTGGTTTGCAAGGTGTCCTGATCACAGGCTTGGTTCTGACAAAACCATTCCAAAAGTTGACCTGAAATTATAAGTTAATTTCTCAGTCATCTTTTCACACACTGGATTTAAAAGAAAGACATAAAAAGATTCATTTTTTGACACCAGAGGAGTTTATTTATGGCCCAATTTCGCATCGAAAGCCAAAAGCATACATAGTGGAGGTACGGTAGTAGAACAATATAAAATAAAACTCAACCATCATTTCAGAGTTAACCCTATTAAGACCGGGCTTATTATTTCTTCCTGCGACCGGGGGGGGGACTTCGGAGGCCCTCCCTTTATAACTTCAAAACTGCTCATGATACAGTCACCAAGATTACACAGAATAATATAGTAATCATTTCCAAGATCGAGGGGACGAGGCGGGCTGAAAAACCGCCCCGGTTTGAATAGGGTTAATAAGGTTTTATAGAGATACCAAAAATCGTGTCATAGCTTCTTTAATCTCTTGAGATTTCTCTTCTTCTGATGAAAAATGATGTGGCTTCTGACAATTCAAAACAGGACCAAAAAAATTGGTCTTTATTGATTTGATAAAAAGAGCGATTGAATACAGAACTGGAAGGGTGTGTCTGGATCTCGAACCACGGGTTAAATTTCCTTAGATTTACGAATCATGTTACATTTTTGAGTCATTTCACGAATCACGTGATCGGAAGAACTGATCAAGTCCATCAATGATTCTTAATGGTTCCTGGACTGCGGCAAGAGTTGGTCTTAAATGACCCCTCGATGTTCAGGAAACAAAAAGTATGGTTACCAAACTGGCAATTCTTTGCTTTTTGTTCGACCACTACAACGTTGACTGTCAAAGAATATTATTGCTGTGCAATCGAAGCTCTGCAATTTTTTTTCCTTTTACAGAGTTTAACTTCGAACCCTCATCACGACAGTTACCTTTGTTTTATCGGTAGAAATCTCGATTTACGGACTTCAATGTTAGGGGATAAAGCGTTACAGTGAAAATATCACTCACGAATCACGACTGTATTCATGAGTTTTCCCAAATCACGCTCTGTTTACTGGTCAACTCACGGATCACGCAAAACCCCTTCCAGACGCTGATACAATGATGTCAGTTTAAAACGGCAAGAATTCCCTTCGCGACTTCGTTTTCAATGCCGTTCTATATCTCTAGGTACTGTAGTGGTTTTGTAACCTCCGCCTGATGTAGCTGAAAAGTAGGTGCGTGAGCGAATCTAACTGAATATTATCTCTTCGATTTGCGTACACTGTTAAACAGGCCAGGATAAGGGAATTTGGCTCTCTCTTAGGAGATGCACAGAAGGGATTAAGCGGTCAAAAGACAAATCTTTAGAACGATCTCTCCCTTTCGTTTGTAAAGCAAATACTAGTTATCATTTATGGAGATAAATAAATGTTTAATAAGCACCTGAGGGTCGCCTCGGCTTCCACAAACGATGTTGACTTGTTCACTATCTTTGTAGGCCTTAGCCAATCCTTCGTTGACGGTGTCTGTCCAAAAACGTGGTTCTCGCGTTTCATTAATATTTCTGTAACAGTGAGTAAACAATGATACATTGTACACAAATAAGTGCTTATTATAATAATAATAATTATTATTATTATTATTATTATTATTATTATTATTGTGAATATTTTATTTAATTCTAATTAAAGTCTAGGATAAGACGAGCTGCTCACTGCGGCTAGCATGACATCCTTATATTGTAGGCGTTTACATCTCCGTTAATACTTCTTTTGAAATGCTTATTATAAATGGCACGGGACCTACTAAATATATTGGAAGCCTTTTTAAATATAGGCATACACCGTATGGGCTAAGTGACGAGGGCTTGAATTTGGAATTACCTAACTTTGATCTTAAGTTTAAGAAGAATTCTTTCACTTATTCTAAGTTATGGAACAGTTTGCCCTCTCAAGTGCGTCTTTCAAGTGATGCTAATGACTTCAAAAGTAAATTGCACGATTACAGCCTTTTTTTAGAACGTGTCTTATAATGCACGATTGTAGCTTTTTACTGTTTTTAGAACATGTATTATAGTTTTCCAGTCATGTTTTTAGTATATAGCTTTTTAGTAATGGTTTTAGCTTTTTATATTTTATGTTTTTATTACTAAATTAAGTTTTTTTATATATTTATTAAGTTGTTTTTAAAATTGAATAGTATTATGACATAGCTGCTGCAATTATTATAGATTTTATTTATACACGTTCGTATTTTGAACGAGTTTTCTAGCTCCTGGACGTACCGTGTCAAAATAAGTGATTGATTGATTGATTGATTCATTGATTGATTCATTGATTGATTGATTGATAGAAAAAGAATCGCAAAAAATTGGTGTTGGTGAACTTCTAAAATGTTGTGGTGACAAGTAAGTCAACTAATCAAAAGAAACTACTCTCATTACAGAGAAAAACAGGTCTATGATTAACCAATTTTCTCCCGCTTGCCTTTGCTGTGGTTTGCAAATAAGGGATCACTCTACTCTAGTTATTTTTGTCAATTCACCACTGTTGCCAACTATTAAATGCTTACTTGACATATTTTGCAGCCCAGCTGGAGACCGCTGGCAATTCGCTTGAGGTGCATTTTGCCAAGTCGACTTTTGGGTAATACATAACCAAGGTTATACACATTTCTTCAAAAGTGGATTGCCCTCCCTACATTAAAAGAAAAAAGGACAAAAAAACGAATAACTAAAAAGAACTGAAACGTAAGAATTTTTGTTCGGATCAGTTTCCGTTTGAGACAAGTACAAAGGGGACTTCAACATAAAAGCAAGAAGTGTACGCTTAGGACCAAACAAAGGTTAAGACATTAACAACTCAACTTACAATGGTAGCAAAAGACCGATCATTGGTATCATAAAAACAGACATTAATCAAAGCGTCGCCCTGCAAGATAAAAGAAAAATTGCAGAGCAAGTGTTTAAATACGTTAAGCACTAAATACGAGCTTTCAAGTGTTTCAGAGAAAACAAGACAATTTCCAAGACTTGAAAAAGTTTCCGAAGTATTCACATGTGGCCATTAATTGTGTAAAGAAAGATAGATCAAGAAGATAAAAAATCGCCACAATCATCTACATATAAAAGAATTTAAACAATCTAGGCCCAACTTCAGAAAGCCATTCAGAGACTCGGCCAAAACACAGCAAAATTCTGTGCTGTGCTTATGCGAATTTTATTTTCCACTTGTTAGGTCTTTATTCGAGATATGCAGAACAAAACAAGCATATAACTAGCTAGATCATGCCCAGAATATACTCGTGCTGCTTACAGCATATTCAGGGTACTGCAACGAATAGTCATCTCGTCATTTAAACCCTATGAGTCTATCTCTGGCCTTCTTTAAGTAACGTAACCTTTGATTAGCTCACGTTCTCGGGCAAGAGTGTCCAGCAGCGGTTTCTGCTATATTTCTTGCTTATCACTATTACGCCGTTGTGGACGTTGAGGTGCGTTCTATTGATCTTATTCTGGAATAGGAATACGTCCTGGGTTAATGATTCTGGAGTAATCTTTATTGATCCCCCAAAATTGAATTTCCGTTTTCCGAATAATGAAGTGCCAGTTTCGTTTTGTTTTTTGTTTTTTGCTTTTTTTGTTTTAATTTTTTTTGTTTTTTGGTTTTTTGGTTTTTTTTTTTGAGTGAAGCACTGTCTCAGGATCGGTAAAAAATATCGCGTCCATAACACAACATTGATGACATGAAAGCACTTTTCTCATGTAAAAACTAGGGTAAAACTTCTGAGAGAAATTTTTGCGTGGAAAATCTTTTTTCCCTGTAGTGTGGAAACAACGAAGGAGGGATACTGCTTGCGTTACAGGCTGTGTCGACTGGAAAATTCAATGGCTTTCTCTTTTTTCCTTGCTTCAGAAAATACCCAAAGGGCTTCCGTTCGTCCCAGTGGTAACTGTTTTGGTTGAAGTACCTCGTTTTCTCGTTAATGTACCGATTATTGTCACCCCCATATTTCAGTTATTGTAAAAAGTGGCAAAAAGGTACCACGATGATTGGTTTAGAATATTAAGCGAGGTGTGGGCAAGAGCTTAACGTTGAGTAACATAGAGAGGGTCAGAGCTGGACTATTAACATGACAGGTGAATATTTTCCCATTTTTAAGTTTGCCTTTTGCTCATTAGGGTTTGATTATCATATCCGAATCAAGCAATAAATTTATCGACTCCGAATATGGTAAGGGATAAGCTAGAAGCTCAGTCAATAACAGTGGAAACTCCATATAACACTTAGAAACTTCTATACAACGAAGTTTTCTGAATAACGAACGAAATTGTTTAGCCCAGTAATAGTAAAATATACGGAAAAGAACCTCGATATAACAAAACCTTCTTATAACGAACAAATTTTACCAGTCCCTTGGCACATCGTTATATCGAGGTTCACCTGTAGCTATTACTGAAATTTCGAGCCCGGAAAGATAAGTAACAGTAGTAGTATAAGAGTGTTGTTTGTTGAAAGAAAAACCATTCCAGGTGTGTGAATATTAATATTGTCTGCCTATTTAAAGGCGGGGGTTCAACTTGAGATATCATATATGGACTTTAAGATCAAACGACGCGATGGCAATGAGAACGTCACTTAAAAAGTGAGTTTGCGTTCTTTCAGTCTTAATAGCAATTATTACTTTGTCAAAATTAGGCTAACCCCCCTGGCCTGAAGCTGAATTTCAAGGGACCATAGCCAAGTTCAGAAAGAGAAATAAAGTTTCGTCGTTGCTTTCACACTCATATATGGGGGCATCATCACTCATTCCTTCAGTACTTGTAAACTGCACCTTAAGCAGTCTGGCAAAGTCCCCCAACCAGTGTTGTAAATTATCCCTGAAAAGCCCTGAGGGGAGTGGATAATAAGATAATTACAATTACAATTACAATTGCTTATTTACGTCCTCCTTTAAACGCGAACTTAGGCATTTTCACCTCGTAGTCGTGCAAAAACGGGAAAGAAATGTACAAAAAAGTGTGATGCACGTGCGAAGTTGTTGTTTTGCTTTTTAAACCCTTTTTTTTTTTGACGTTCTCGTTGCTGTCCGCGTCGTTTGATCTTAAAGTCCCTATTATTTACATTAATTCCTCAGAACCAAGAGCACATTAAATATCTATCTTAAAACTTCAGTAAAGGGGCAAGAAAGCTACAATTGATTCAACAGAGCCAAGGAAAAAATGCAGACACTATAAATTCATTACCGGAGCAATATGGACCTCCTTATTCAAAACCTGATATTCCTGTTAAAAAGTAAATGACAGTACGCTGTTAATAAAAAAATAAAACACTATTTTAGATGTGGGCACAAGCTTAAATTTCATCGGTAAACTACTATGACGGATAGCTACGGATCAACCTGCCTTAACCTTTTTAGTCGTTTCGTTTCACTTTAACTCACCTGTAAAACTCACCTGAAAGTTAAAGTCATAATGGTCATCTCTTATAATTTCTGGAAGTTCCACGCCATCTCTAACGTGTCGAAGTAATGCTTTACGCCCTTTAAAATCATAAAAGCGTTTATTGTTCTACGTCACCAAGAAGCAAACAATGTATATACAGCAGTTTAATTATTCGTGCTTCGACCTCTTTCGAAGACTTAGCACTCCAAAACAGTTTCCCAAATGTATACAATACTTTTTGTTAGTAGGTAAGAACATCAAGGAAAGACAAGTCGACTGATTTGTGACACCAAGTCCGATATAACATAAAAAAGAATTGCTTTAATTAAATTCTATATTTCTTTCAACTAGGCTGACAGTTTATAACTTGGCTAGGTATAGATTCAATAGGATTGAGAAACGCAAGGTCTTGAAAAAAAAATAAGCAGAAACTTCAGCCGAGTGACAAAACAGATCGACTGAACAAAGTTTGTTGTGGTTTAAAACTAGTATTATGAATATACTGTCAATCGTAAGCCAAATTGCTTAAGGCTGTAGGCCCTGATAAAGGATTTCGAGCCTGCTGTTTTGGACTAAAAAGCATGGGTTTTCGGGTAGCTTGGTGACAGGGTGAGTTATCGTTACTTTCAGAAGTGAGCAACCTCAAGTAGCCCAAACTCACAATTTAGTGTGATTTGTTGTAACAAACCTGAAGAGTATGTATGGAGATTCTTACCAGCGATTTCTACTTTCTAGCGCTATTCTTACCAGCTAGATGTGTATGCAACATCGCCGAAAAGATGTTGATTCCTCCTTCAGGTAGCACGATTTCATTCAGTCCCTAAAAGAATTATTAGTAAGACCGATTTACGACATGGACCTTGAGAAATAAAGAAATCCTTCACTCACAGTTAGAAAACGCTTTCCGTGCGGACCCTTTTAAGGGTCAAAACCGGGACACTGCGACGATTATCCATTCACAACGTATTGTGAAAACAAAAGATTCTCAAGTTCTTTTGCAAACGGACCATTAAACAACATTCATAATTTTGAGGGCTGTTTCCTGAGAGGTCAGATAAGTTCAAATGGTTCCTGAAAGTTTCAACGGTTGCATAGTTGAATACTTGAATTTTAATGGTCCGTGGATCAATTAGCATGCGAACAGCAGACGCATTTCCGGTCGTCGCTTCTCTCCCTCTGAAAAATAGCGTCTGCGAACCCGTGGCGTAAAACCTTTTGTTTTGATGTTGGCCTATCAGGTTAAAGGAGAGAATACAGCTCGAGTGACTTCTCGCGCGCTGAAGTGTCTTGGGAGACACTTCACTCCAAATACGCTTTGGAACTGTGAATTTCACGACCATAACAAGGTTTCCTGCGCCGTTAAATGCTGACTTCTTTATGAAGCAACTGCTTCTTAAGCTATGTATATGATGTGGGCCTTTGGTTTCGCTTTATAAAATACGGTAGTACGTGACATAAACAAAACCTGGACAAAATAATCGGTACAGCGAAAGGAAAGTAACATAGCCTAATGACATCGCGCTCAGACTTATTAATTTCAAGTTAACCAGCGCTGACAAAAGGTGGTGAATCAATTATACGGACACATCTTTGACTGATTCAGAAATCTCTGACAATCGCTCGTTAATAATTCTAGTATCGCCACAACACTATGATCCGAAATTTTATAAACCTGGGCCAGACCCAGCGTGAAACAAATAGTTAAAGCAGCAAATTGATCATACCTTATTATAGGAAATTAACGCTCCATGAAATTAAGGTATTGGAAATTAACGCCACTTAAATTAACCCGAATTTAATGGAAAACGACTTTCGAATAAAGAAAATTAACGCTAAAGAGGAGGTAGAATTTCATTCTAAAGGTAATTAACGCGATTAAGACACAGTTCGTGGTGACAACTAGAACAAATTTATTTCAACACTGGATGCAATAAAATTCAAAACTGAACAGAACTGAGCGGACATCACTTCTGACAGCGACAAAGATGAAGATGAACTCGAAATATTGTAAACCTTCGCCTTAGCTTTTGTAAAAGATGAAAAATAAAGGGTAGATGGAAAGAAAGAAAGTTTGTAGTTAATGTTTTTTAGGTGTCAAGAATGTCTAGACAGGTTCCAAAAGTTGGGTTAAAATACTGGAAATTAAGAGCGCAGAAATTAACGCTGCAGTTAAATTACGTCGCGGAAATTAACGCTCAACAAAATTAACGCGACTTAAATTAATTAAATTATATTAGATTAAATTAAGGTAGTGAAGATGACATTTCAGCTACGGCGCCTCGACTCTAAACCTTGAAAAGAACATGTATTTAAAGAAATATAAGAACAAATATAAAAGCTTTCGATCTGATCAAAGTTCTGTCTGAACCAAGAAGCAACTACGCATGGGAAATCAATTACCACACGTCCTAGCTTTCAAAGATAAAGGATACATGTATCTACTAAAAAATATCTAAAGCAGCACACGACAAACTATCGAAGAGTTCTCCTTCCTGCCAGGAACCAGAAAGGAACAGAAGCAACAAACGGCATGATGCGTCTACTGTCATTAGGACATTTATCGTTTGAATATGATCAAAAGAACTAGGTGTAATAAATCATTGACTCCGAAGGCAAATAGACAAAAAAATGTCCTCCAATCTTTTCCTCGATATGAATCTTCTTGATGCTTATTTCATCAATAAGACCTACAGTCCTGGCAAATTAACTTTCGTAAACGCGTCGTTCTGAGGAAAAAGGGCGGCTTGGCTACGTCGTCCTTTCAAGTTCGACTTGAAAACATATCCACCGTGCACGATCTTCCGAGAAGTCTTGCGAGTTAGTTCCTTGATTTTAAGAGCTAAACCGTGATTGGCTAGAAAGGTTTTACGTCACGGAAATAGTTTTGCCTCTCGGGTTCGCAGACGCTATTTTTCGGAGGGAGAGAAGCGACGACCGAAAATGCGTCTGCTGTTCGCAGGCTATGGATCAATCGTTTGTTTTCAAAAAACTTTGTGACTGGATAATCTTCCTCTAAGTGTTCTGGTCTGAGTCCGCACTTTAACTGCTTTCGCTGGCAGTTGAAGTCTATTTCTAATTAAGTAAACCAACTAGGAAACACCCAAGTGTGTAAGGTACCTTTGTGCTCAAAGTACAAAATACAGGATGCTTTTCAAATTTAACAAGAAAATCATACCTCAGTTTTTAGATTAAATGAAACCGTCAGATGAAATGATACAAATATAATAAAAGCAATAATTTGGATATAAAAACAAGCTCTGTCAGCTCCAAACTGCGTTGAAGAGCAAATAAAGGTAGATGGCAGTACCTTTTGGGTGCAATCTGAGCTACAAAAGCTGTTTATTTTCCAGTTTTTTTGCCTCGGCGGAATTAGCATTGCGCGGTTAACGTCCGCTCCAACCAGCAGTACTCCCGACTCGTATTTTCGTAGCTGTTTGGTGTAGTGAAACCGCAAGCCAGAACTGTCAATCAGTCCTAAAGAAAAACAATAATCATCAGACCAAACTTCCTCTTCTCGGAAACGTAAACATTTACAACAGTGAAATATTCGAAAGCCATGGTTAACAGAATCCATTTCTCATCAGGGAAATACTTCGAGGCAAAAGATTTAGTTGGTCTAAAGCGATCCCCCACCTAGTGTTCAATTAACAAAAGGAATTACAATTAAGAAATGTTTTTGCTATCAGTGTCACCGTCCGTTTTAAACGGTTCTCTAAATATCGGGTCCATAAAAAAAGATTTTTTTGGATCCACAAGGCACAAACCCCAGCCTAAATACTAAATATAACAATACTAAAACCATAAACTAGTGTCGTCGTGGCGTGCAGTCTTAATTAAAATCCTAGCGCTATTACAAAGTAAAACGTTAATTTAAACGAAAAATCGCACATTAAAATGCTTAAATGGCACTATTCGACTGGGCGAGCTGACGGAGGACAGGGCGTTTGCCCTCTTTTTGCGTCCCCACCCCAGTTCAAGAGTCCCTATCCCCGGGAATTTGCCATTCAAGGCAAAATAAAATGCTAATGGACGGGGCTCAGCCCGGGGGGGAGGGAGGGCTGGGAGCAGCTGGTACTGACTGATGCATTATCCAGTGACACTGTAAAAACGTTGAACCTCCCACTCACTCTTTCCCAATGAACTTAAGTTATCAAATAATACTTTAAAAAACTCAAACTCAGGCCTTGTCTTTTGCAACTTCTGCGAATGAAATTTACATCACTGAGGCCCGTTTCTGGAAAGTCCCGGTAACTTTTCGGGTCCGTAAAGTTGTTTGTGTTTCCCGTGTTTACATTCAAGATCAAAGCTTCAATAATTTGAATATGAGACATTTAATAAAACTATCAGTTAACGAAGCTTAACTGACTGGTTTGTGAGCAAGGAACTGTGTGCATGTGCTACCATTCCAAAGGTTTAAAATTTGCTTTCGGGCCCAAAAAGTTACTGGGCCTTTAGAAAAACCGGCCCCAGCTGGGCCCTGCACAGCATTTGCTTGATCGTCACTGCTGCCATAAATCATGTGAATTGACGATGAGTGACTTACTGTTGCCAACTAAACGGGGTTAAATTTAAACCAATCTAATGAAAGCACTTTGACAAAGAAGCTTTCAGTTAGACAATTTGTCGACAAACTAATAACAAAAGACTCACAACGTCAATGTACTGGATTACAGGAAAAAGTTTTAAGGTAAGGTTTTTGTCGACTATTACTTCATTTTTTTTTTTAATTTGATTTGATTTTTTTTTATTCAGTTTAACAATATTGTTAATTTTAACGCATAGCTTATAGTGCATTATTATCAATTTATTTTATAAATTTATTTTCAAAAATTAGTCGTTGCTGTAAAGCGCCACTGGACAGCAATGGAAATAGCGCTATAAAAGAAAATGTTATTATTATTATTATTATTATTATTATTATTACTATTGTTATTAAATTTGCTAAGTTTCCAGTCGTACCTTCCAAATTCTGAGGATTGTCATAGTGGACTTCAAGGACGACAACCTTTGGACTGTTTTCTTTTCCAATGGCGAATCCAACGTGTTCCGGGTAATAAAATCCCTTTTAAAATAAACAGAATCTAAGTTTTCTTCAACCTCTTACCTTTGCTTTGTTTCTTTCTAAGGCTCTTTGCATGACTTGATCACGTAATCAACTTTCAAACACGAAAACAGTTCGCTTTTGAAAAATTTTGTTAGCACAAGCTGAAAGAGCATATTGAAATTAGCTAACCTGAGAATTTTCAGGCGTATATCTCAAAAGTAGCGATTGTAACGGCCGCCGAAAGTTTGAAGAATTTGTATGAGAAAAACAACTTTTGCCATCCAGTCACCCTTGCATGGTTTTCCATAAAAATCCTTGTAAATTCTAAAATTTTTAAACTGTCGTGTAATCTTTTTCTTACGCATTTTTATTAAGGGCTCAAACTGTCTGTTATGAATTAAAAGGAGATTTGAACCCTGTAACGCTAAGGAAATATTTCATGACAGGTTATGACAGTTTTGAAAATTTCGAATTTAAAAGGATTTGTATGGAAAACCATGAAAGAGGTGACTGGATGGCAAAAATTGTTTTTCGGCAATATGGGCCCCTATTACAAATATTATAAATGCAGCAATTTCTCAATGCAAATATCCCAGCCGTTGGAAGATGGGACAAATAACCCCTTTTTTTCAAAAGGATGATGAACTTGTCAAACAGAATTATAGACCAGTAACGGTATTACCCTGTCTGAATAATATATTTGAAAAGCTACTGTCATCTCAGCTTGAAGGATTTTACAATGGGCTCCTATCAAACTTTCTATCCGCTACAGAAAATTCCATAGTTGTGAGACTTTCGACTCATGGAGGACCGGAGGAGGAGTAGAGACAAAAAATAACTTGTTGGGATTGTTTCATTGGACTTATCGAAAGCGTTTGATAACAATACCACACGCTCTTCTTCTGGCCAAATTAAAAGCATATGGCCTAAGTCAGTGTAGCGCTTGTGCGCTGCGCAAGGACTATCCCCCTGGAAGATTGCAGAAGGTTACAATTGGAGATGTAACATCCGAATAGGCAGCGGTTTCGAGAGGAGTACCTCAGGGCAGTGTACTTGGGCCCCTGTTTTTTAATATTTTTATCAATGGCTTTATAATTTTATCATATTACGGAGGTAAAGCTTCATGCGTACGCCGATGATGAACAATTTTATGGCTCAGACACTGATCCAAAATTACTTGACAGGAGGCTCATGCATCAGCTCAATATTGCAAACGAATGGTACAGAAGCAACGGTATGTTGGTCAATCCCACCAAACACCAGGCCATGATAATAGAAACACGAATCATGCGTTTTCCTTTCCGGTACACAAATCAGTTGCGTTGTTTGGAATAACTGTGGATGACAGACTCTGTTTTGATGAACACTTCTCTAACATAGCCTTTCACACGCCCAAGTTAAAAAGCAACTCCATGATCCTTTGGAAAGAGTTTTTAGTACTAAAGGAAAAAGCTTCATTGCTACAAATAATTTTCGCACCTTCTGTACGAATGATCGGACGTCAGCGTGGTACACGTACTTCTCCTGTAGTGTGCTTTGTCTCGCTGTTGACTTTCTTATCAACAACATCTACGTTCGTTTTGGAAGCTCTGTTTTCCGGCAGGTTATTGGTATACCAATGGGCACCAACAGTGCACCTTTGATGGCTGATCTCTTCCTTCCTACCTTCGAGTACGATTCCATGGTCAAAACAATGAAACAGGACATTACAAAAGCCATCCAGTTCAGCAACGCCTTTCGGTACATCGACGATTTATTCAGTGCTAACAATGTGGACTTTAGAAATTACATCATCGCAATTTAGCCGTCGGAATTGGAACTTAAGGACGCTTCCACATCATCTACTGAAAGTGTGTTATCTCGACTCAAATATCAAGACTGGTGACATAAATACACCTTTTTGTATCAGCATCTACGATAAGAGAGATGACTTTGCATTCCGGATTGTCAGCTTTCCTCATATGGGCAGTAACATTCCCGCCAATCCAGCTTACGGAATTTTATATATCTCAACTGGTGAGATATGCTAGAATTTGCACGTCCAAAGTTGACTTCAAAAATAGACTCCGCGGACTTTCATTACGTCTCAGACAACAAGGCTTTGACACCAATCTACTTCAGAAATCATTTAATAAATTCTTCATTCACCATGGTCTTATCGTCGAGAAGTATGGTGCAGCCCTGCGGGAGATGAGATTACAATCCAGGCTTGAATTGCACCATCGTATCCTTACATCACTTATTTATTACTAGATTTGTATTTCAGTTGTGTCTTGGTACGCGCAGTTTTGTTTTGTACGCATTTATTCATTTAATTTGACGTGTACATTTAGTTCGTCAAATAACGTCTTAATTTTACTTTGCGTTGCGTTTTCCCATAATGTTCATGTTTATGTCGCCTATTACTGCATCTTTCGTATTCGGTGCCAAGCTTAAAATATGCCATCTCTCTTTAAGGTTTTACATAACAACATCATTATACACACTTACCTTACCACCTATAGCCCAACCAGCAATTATGGGCGTGAGTCCAGCACAACCTCTAATTTCAGGAGGCATATTTGAAGCATAGCATCTAAAAGCAGTATTGTTCAATAACTCCTTTGGAAAATCATCACTGCACTGGAACACTAACATGTGGTGAACGACACCCTCGTGGCCTGATTGGATAACAGGTTCAATCTACGTTTTCAAAAGTAAGTCAAAGATTAGTTATCAGTTTGCCTTTTGTAGGTCAAATATCAATAACAACAAAAGTGCGTGCAAGCCAGAAGCCACAGACTGGATACAAGTTGGTTCTACTCCGCAGTCTAGATCTCACCTTTACGACATGATGGGTTTCATTGAGTTTAGGGATTTCCAAAACTGCGCACATGTAGCTAGTTCCATCTTTGGGAATGGCAGTCTAAAATAGAGAAAGAAATGTGATCATGGTTAAATTTGATATATATTGTACATTCAAAACGTTTTGAAACTCAGCAAAATTAAAGTATTTTACGCAGAAAAGAAAAAGACTCAGTTTTGTGTGCCCCCGAAGAATCCGTTGCTGGTCACTTCTTTTGCTCCCGTATAAGCCGTAACAACGCCTGTCATGAAACCATTGCCATTGAACAGGTTATCAGAAATCTTGCATTATAAATTTCAGATAGTTTCTTACCCAGCTCTGCTCATTTTTTCCTGCTTATCTTGGCCTTGCCTAATACCTATGTCGGTGCGTTTGTGATATGCACTGAATTGGCGTGGTCAACACGAGAAACAATTCTTCATATGTTTTAAGAAAGAATTTGCCAACGATTTCTTCATTGGGTTTTCGAATCTTCACTCCTTAAAGTTCGGTGATTATTAGTACAGACGTGTGGGTGCTGAAATTTCATTAAACCACACCGATTTGCAATCTAAAAAGCACATAAGATTCATCGACGCCATGCTGTAACTCTTAGCGATGCCTCTTATTTCGTTCAATTTGAGCTCGAGAATATTTAAGATCTGCATTGCAAGAATACACTAAAAGCAATGACGATGGACTGGATAGAAAAAATAGTAAAAGTAACCTAGTACTTAATTAAGTAGGGAATTAAGCATACGAAAGGGCGCTAAAAGAGCGCTTACACGGTTAATATATGCAAACTGTGTGTAACTTCCCATTCTTATTTAATTCTAAACTTTTACACTTGGGCTTAAAGGAATATACCGCTAATAAATCTAAAAAAAGCTATTAATTAGTATTACCATATTGTGTGATATATCAAAGGTTTTAGTGTCAGGAGGTAGAGTTGGTTCTTTGTTGGCGTTGTTTAGCAGATAAACGCTCCTTTGCCCACGGTTTCTATGATTATGCTGTAAAATGGAATTTTCTGAAGCTGGATCTTCTGGGTGGTAAGCGTAGATCACTTTCGTTGTCCCTGCCTGAAAATTGAAAGTGTTGTCAAGGTCTCAACCAACATTTTAATCTCTTCAACAGTACTGTGTCTGAGAGCCACTGTGAGTGATAACGAGAAGAAACTTTTGAATAACGAGAAGAAACTTTTGAGAGGATGGAAAACTATAAGTCGTCCACATCGTAAATTTTCTTCGCCGGCTTTTTCACCATCTAAATCCCTAAATTGGACAATTCATTGCTACGTCTTCGTCGACCTCGTTCCCGATTCTCCCTTTTCCACCTTAATTCTCTCAGACACCCTGATAAGGCAAAATTGAAAGTGTCGGGTCTCAGCCACCATTTTAAACACTTATAAGTTAACAGGATTGTCTAAGCTGAGAGCCACTGTGGTGTGATGGTGAAAACTAAGTCGCACACAATAACAACTTGTGTCACCGCTTTTCTGCCAGCTGAATGGCTAATTTGGGCTATTCTTTAGGACAAACGCTTGCAAAGGGTTTGTTTCAAAAGACGTTATGTTGCTACGTCTCCGACAAACTCTTTATCAATCTCTCTCTTTCACCTCCACTCGCTCCCTGGAGAGTAAAACAAGGCTGCGTCTCTGGGCAGAGTGAAACCAGCAAAAAGTTAGTCTCATCATCTGAGTCGATATAACAAATTTGCCACCTTCAATAGATTCAGGCTAAACTCAGCTTTCAAAATCTCTTCGTCTTAAGCTGCCACCACTAAATGTCAACATTTTTTTAGGCTTTCAAGGCTTTACTCACCTCGATTTTGTTGTCTTGAGGATCGCATGTGTCCAGTTTTCTTTTAAATTTCATGGTGGTTTTTCCATTGTCTTCCTTAAGAGATATCAGTTCGTAATCCTGCTGCGAATCGATTTTTGGCATCACGCGACCATCTGCATGTCGATCCTGGTAGTGTACAACAAAAACATCAGCTTCATGTGGGATTTATGAGTGCATACTTCATTCATATACTCCTAGCCTGCGAAGTTATGGATGCTAGAGAGAACGAGGCGCGAGACGGAGCGACGCACAAGGGGAGAGCCTCATTTTCGTGGCCTCGCCTAGCGGTTACGGCTGAATTTTTATGAGTGAGTCGGCCGGGCCCAAAACACGGACTGCGAGCAGTCTTTTATTTTTCTTTTTAGTCACTGTAGATCGAGAGCATGCCTGCAAGATTTTACTTTTTCACTACTGCGTGTGGCTCTCACTGAAATTAAGGGCCTACTCGACAGTCGGGGCCCTTCAAAAATTATCACAAACAAGAATGAAAAAATAACTCTTTTAAAAACGGATCAATTTATCAAGAACATGTGAAAATCTTTGAACTTTGGTACCGTATATGCGAAACTGTCTCAACTAAACAACGAGAAAAGTCATTGTGTTTCTATATAGAACTTATCTGAATCCTTCTTTTAAAATGTTGAATGATTTAAAAGCTGTTCAGTATTTGTCAAAAGAGTCGAATGATATTACTTTGCATTCATCGCGATTAAATGCACCTATAACTGACTTTCGCCTCATAGAACCAACATTTATATTCAGACATTGTCGCTTTGTTCAAAGAACGTGCATAAACGGAATGACCTTTAAATACATGTTCAGGACTGACGGGCTCCTGACATGTTACGTTTCTGAAACAACTGTGAATTACTATACCCTAAAGTAGCTATCCTAGAAGTAGGCTACCCTAAAAGTACCCTGTTGCCGGCTAAATTCGAAAGAAATGGGAGCCGTTACTTTCGGAATTCTACAGTATCTTGCTTTTACTGATAATTTCTGTTCATGGCGGAATGTCACGGATTATCATTAATAACACTTCTTTGATCGAGCATAATCCTTCCATATGTTCTTTTTCGCGTGCTGATCTACTCTCTTGGACATTATCGTCATCCCTGGCATCATCAGCCACTCACCAACGTTATGATGGACTTCCTTATCACGAATAATTCTGGCTCAGCTCCTAATTTTGATGCCACATAAGATGGCGTCTTACTCCCCTTTTTGATTTTGACGTCACGCATTTAGTAAGTGTTTTGCTCCCAATTTTAATTTTTCTGTTTAAACACGAAGAATTAAAAACGCAAAGCAAAAAGGAAACAATAGTAAAGTGATAAGTGATGACAGAAACGAAATGTCCAGTAAAACCCAAAACCCGTAGCAAATCATAATTCAAGTGATATTCAAGTGCCCTTAGAGCGCAAATAACATTAAAGCAAAACCGCTCTCTCCTCAGCAGAAGCCTCATTGTGTTGTAGGGAGGCTGGGAGAAAGAAAAAGAGAGCGCGCGGGTTATTTTAATAAGGAATCCCAGCGGGAGCCTCTGCGGAGGAGAGATACAAAACCGCAAACGAAATTGAAAATTCTGATGAAAATGGAACGCCGATTTAGTGAGTGAAGACGGTAAATGGAAGCCGGGGCAGGCCGGAGAGAATAGGGGGAGGGAGGGGTACGGGGGGGTGGAAGAGGAAAAGGCAGAACACGAGAGAAAATTAGGGGATAGGGAAAAAATGGGCGGTTTGATTCTTAACATTTCGCAAACGAAAAATAGCCAAGAGGTAGAAAGCCAGGAAAAAAGGGACGCCTACCCGAGAATGCAAGGAACGGGAGGAGGGAGGTGGACACCCCCTGTCCCCCCTCGCCAGCTAAGAAGCAGACCCCCGTTCTTCAGAGGATCTTTTCGTGAATGACAAAACAAACAACAGCAACAACAACACAAAAAGAATCAAAGAGAAAACAGGAAAGACCAACTTGAGGTTTAACTCGAAGTCTCATTCGATACCGAAATTCGCACTCGAACTCGATATCCAACTCGAGGTTTCTTCATTCCATAAAAGATGCAATGCAAGTGTACATGCAGACAAAAGCGAGAAAGAAATTGAAAATAACGATGAAAAAAATGCAAAGGCGAATGAAAATGGAAACAAAAGTGGCTGGGCCACCTTGGATTCTGAGGTAAGGGCTTATGCCGAACTCTGTAATTGCTAAATGGAGCTTCTATGTTAGCTATGATGGAGAGTGGTCTTTTTTCCCCTCGCACTGTAGTCAATGGGCGCACAATTTCAATCAGTTAAGCATTCAAAAAATAAAGAAAATATCTCTCTCTCTCTCCCCTCCACCTGCCTTTAGCCTCATATCCGAATTATTTACAGTCTGACTAGAGATGATAGCTGAAGGAGGGCGTTATATCATTGTAAATGTGGAGAGATTGCCGGATACTAATCTACTTGCCTTGAAAAACGTCTGTCCGTCTTTCACCCATCCTATTACAATATCTGCTCCTTCCATTTTCCCCTGACCACTGGAGATGCCAAATCCTACCCATCCTGTCGTGTTCGCCTCAACAGTGAAGAAAATTTCCTCTCTAGTAGTGCTTATATTCCAATAAAGCTTAACATTTTGGCTTTCATCAAGTGGAGAGAAGAACGAATGTTCTGCAGCCAGATTAGCTAAGGAACGCTGTTGGGATGCGAAGAAACAAATCAAAAGAAAAACGCACAGGGCGACTGACGACATTGTTCTTGCCTTTTCACAAGAGCAAAAAATGAGCCGTCATAAACCTTTTAGATATTAGGCTTTTGTCATGCATCATAGGAATTTTTCTTTTGGTGCTGTAATTCAAGCAAACCAGAACCGGAAACATGATAATAATATTAACGGTGCATCCATCAACTTTAGTCACGTTGTTGTTCGTAATTACAAGACACTTGTTTTGCGCGATTCATGAGTGGCTCATGGTTCTCCACGAACTCCAACCACTTAAGGTTTGGTTGAAAGATCAAATAGATCGTGGAAAGAGGATATGAGATCATTAATAATGAGCACCTCTTCCACAAGTGTTCAAAAATGGTGTTAAAAAGCATCAGAAGCGGCTTATACTAAGCTATACCATCGAGCAATAAAGATGACACCATATGAGGCTGTTTATGGTATTTAAAAAGCCATAGAGAATGTGAACATCATGAGGAACAACCCAGAAAACGACAAAAAATAACAGAAAATCAGAAAAACTATGACAACGAAATGGTAACCCAAAGCCAAAAAAACCAACCTAGAAAATTTAAAGTTGGAGACATTGTCTCTATAAAAATTGACCTTGTTGACAAGACATCGCCTCTGCATTCAAATCTTCTTCTGGGAAAAATTGAAGAAATTGTAAACACCTATATGCACGTGTTGTGACCAAATTTGGTAGAATAAACACATTAATTTCACCCACCCGTTTACATGTATATCCTTGCACAGCTACTAGTTAGAACATTGAACTTGATTACACTACTGAGCTGACATTTTCTGCCGCGTGCAAGAAAGCTATGTAGTGTATTTAAATAATTTGTCACGTAATACTTATTACCGAGGTTCTGTCATTTTGTTTCAAGAAGTAAAAAAGCCGTTACTGTGTACAAATACTGGTGTTGTTTGTTTGACTGAGTGGAAAAGGATTGGGTACCAGACCTTACCTAACCCTAACCCTAAATGACTCCTTAACCACTAAAATGAGTGCTTAATCTTAATCACTTAATTCACTACTTAAGGGTTACATCGAATATACTTCACTTGAGTAAAATAGAAAAAAGTGACGTATTTGAAAAAATTAACCGGCATAAATTAATAAAACCAGTTTCAAAAATTTTGAACTGGTTCAAAAACATTTAAACCAGAAAAAAGAAATTGAACTACAACATATGCCGTGTTCTAAGTACTAAATAGGTTTCCAGTTTGCACAAAAGCTGAAACATGCGGGATGAAGACGTTTTTCGCGAGAAGTACATGTACATTATGTCTACACTAAACTGTAGGCCCCGTCTCTCAAGCCTTAAACATATTAACTCTGTGGGACGTTAGCGAACTAACACACTGTTCGTTAAGGGTAAGGCAGTGCCCAATGTGATGATTTATCTCTCATGGGAGGTGGGACTGCTGTTATATTCTATCGTGCCGAATCCAATACCATTTACACACAATATTCGTCCAATATCTAGACACCAAGCAGTGGCTTGAACGACGCGCGATGCGAGTGTGTCAAACATTTAATAAAGCATCTCAAATGAAACTGATATAATTATGTTCTTGAAATCGAACAAAAAATTGGAATATCCACCTTCACAGTTATGTAAGTAGAGAATCAGGTGTGAAGTGTTTTTCCTTGTTTTTTTTCTTTAAGAGGAAACGGCAATCTCGTTAGATATCTCTTGTTGAGAAGGAAAGGTGCAACTTGAAGGGAAATTTTACTCATTCTTTGATTTCAGTTACTTTGGACACCGAATGGTGCATTTTTTGTCTAATTTATTTATTATATAACATTGAACTGTTTCCAGTTGCTTAAAAGGTGGATCGTGGGTACACAGCTCAAGGAGTCTGGAATCCTAATCACGCTAACGACTGGAATCCAAGTTCCACCGAGAAAGAATCGGGAGTCAAAGCCCCGAACCGCCTAAGAAAATGTGGTAATTTATCCCGTGGGGGTACTCCTGGGAATTCGTGGTGGTGGTGTGCCGCCCGGTTCTCCAAATCCTGACCCTATTTCGGACTAAAACTGTAATTTTCCACACCCGTTTTCAGACCAGACCTCTAAATTCCATACCCGTTTTCAGACCTGGCCTTAGATTACAGCGCAAACAAAAAAAATCTTCAAATCCGTTTCCAATTCCCATATTTCCCTTTCTTACTCATTTGGAATTGATATGATAAATACGTTCATACACTCCCGTAGTTCCCTCAAAAACCATACCCGATTCCAGACCAAAATGGGCAAAGTGTATACCCGTTTTCAGACCAAAAAGGGGCAAAAAAACGTAACCAGATGGGGCGGCACACGGCCTATATAACCTACATAAGGGAGTACACCCCCCCTCCCCCCTCCCCCACCGGGTAATTTATCCATCCGAGAAATTTTGGTAATCATGACATCGACGTCCGTCTATCCATTCTCACCACAGGGCATCAATGTGAAATGTCAACTTTTTAGCTAGTGTAGTTGCCTGTAGCCTGTGTTTAACATCCATATCATTATAGTCAAAAACAGGGTATCCACTGGCCACTGACCAGAGTCACAAAATCGTATCGTAGGCTGGCCACTGAAATTTGAGGTTTTCAATGGTTTATAGTCCATTGTCTAGTCGCACAAAAACCAAAAAATTCCGTGGAAAAGAAAACTTTTAGTCCAACCGAAGAGGGTCGCATTTAATAGTGGGAGAGAACTTAAGAACGCCAGATACCAGAAAACATTTTTCTCTTTCTTCGTCCGCCAACTTTTTCCTCCATTCCCAGTTTCAGGAGGATGGGACAGATAAAGAAGACCGGGAAGGTCACGTGTTCATGGTTCGTCATGTCGTTTCCGTCCCCAAAGGTTTAAAGCGTAAAAAAAAACTTTGTTGGTTTTCAAATTTTCATGACAATGGTTTATAGTCCATTGTCTAGAGTAAATTTAAAGCGGGTCACGTGACCTAACTAAGATGCGGAGTCACGTGAGCAGACTAAAATGGACAGTCGTGTGTTCAGTGCTCTGCGTAAGGGTTTCCTTTTTTTCTTAAATCCAGCTTAAATCGGATCTTTACTTTCAATGAACTTTAATTTCTCAACTTTTCTTGATCTAAGTGAGTCACGTCTTCAATACAAGTCATGATGAGCACATGTGAAATGTCTGTGTTTTGCTAGCAGATTTTTCACCGTTTTCTAACTTTTACTCCTAAGCATTGGAAAACATACACGTTCATCACTGCACAATATAATCTATTTGTCCTTCTATGTTTGCGTTCATCGTCAGTCATACTGATTCATTGTCTATATCACACACGAACTGGTAAAAAAATCATATCTCAGCAGATATTTGCAGCAGCTTAGAATGTGATTAGTCGGTGCTTAGTCAGCAGATTTTTTACCCCTTCTTAATTTTAGCGTTGAAAAACATCCCACTACGCAATCTATTCGTCCTTTTGGGTTTGCCTTCACCATCCGCCCTCCTGCGGGTTTCTGGTAAGTTAATTCGCGGAGTTCAGTTTACTCGTAATCCATAAATACATCGCATTTAGTTTTATAATTCATAGTTCATGATTCATGAGAGCGTGCCTTGTTTACATTAAAATCATACCTCAGAAGATATTTATAGCAGAATTTAGAGAGCTTTCGAAAGGGCAGAAAATATCAGTTTCCCGGGAAAAAAATATTTCACTTCATGATAGCAACCCATAGTATTTCACGAAAAATTACAAGCATTTTGTACTTGATGAAAATTATGCCGGCATTTTGAATGAAAACTGAGTTTTGCGAAGTAATGTTCGGTTTAAGAAAAAAAAACTTAAAAGAGAAGTCTTTTCTGTGATGTCTGAGGAAATTAGTCCGCTTATGTGCCGAAGATGTGGGACACACATAATTTACTACATTCTCTCTTGCTACAAATTTATTTGTCAACTCCACCAGGTTTATATGCATGCATACTTAAATTTCCGCTCTAACATGGCTGTCATGGCTTGTTCATTACGGAGCAACATAACGCTAAGAAAACTGTCATTTCAGGGACTTTTCTATTAAGTTTCAAACTCTGACATCAAGAACATCAATATTTAAAGGTAGATTTCAGTGAAACCGGCAGGCTTTTTAGGGTAGAAAGCTGAAAAGCTAAAATGAGACGCAATTCAAGGCACTGGCTGGCAGCATTGATGTTTAATTCAGTAGCTAGGTGATATTAATCCAAATGGCACCGAAAACAATTGTAAACGTACTAACTGTCGAAATTCGTCGCCAAAAGCATTGCTTGATCGCGTAAAAGCTACGTAAATTTTCGCGCATCCCAAGCACTTTTTTCACCATTAAAAAAACATTGTCGTCCAAAGACGTCGCCAGGTAAAATGGATCAAAAAGTCCATATTTGGTAGCGATCGGTACTACTGCAAATTCTCAGGAAAACATATATATATATATTTGTTTTTTTTTTTTTTAATCAATTTCGTCATCGGTAATTTTCGCTCGGAACTCAGTGAAATTTCGATCAAAAATACAAAATCGATCAATTAATTAGAATTTCAAAAAATAGGTCACACCATTTAGTATTATGGGAAATGGACCCAAAATGAAAGAAGAATTCCCCTTTACAAGAATTTGTAACGCAAAGAGCGGGCTCGGAAAGAAAGGAAATTAACGAGACGGAACCAGACACCACTCAGTGTAATTTAAGCCATGATGATTGGTGTATGCCGTGACTGGGTCCTATCATAAATCATCAAGCTTTATCACGTCTATTTATATTCGAGGGGAAAACACCTTTTGACTTGAAATGTATCAACTCTTTTAACGTGAAATGTTAAAGTTTTTGACCAGCGCTAAATGGTACAGTATTTTTAACGCAAAATGTATAAACATCGTGAAAACGCGTAATTCCACGCTTCCGCTTAATGGAGAAAGTAAACAAACGACAATGATTCTTTGTGCGTTCGCAAGAAATCAATTCCGGGGAAATTCACCTAAATTTGTCATTTTCAGCGAACTGGAATAACAGCCTTCGCGTTTGAAAAGCCTCC